ACAGTGTCGGACGAGAGAGGACCAGGCCTGGAGTTTATTTTGTGTTTTGTGTGCGGCAGTCGTCCGCGAGGGGCTGCCGCTTTACTTTCGTTTTGTGTTTGTTTATTTTATTAAAATCTTAAAATGTTCGCCGGTTCCCGCCTCCTTCTTCCCGACCTACGAACGTTGTTACAATATATATATAATTGAGGATTATTTATAGAAATGTTTTCTTCATCCAGTAATCACAAACAACTTAAGACTCATGTAATTTCATGGGTGTGGGAGTCCTATATTTTAGAAAGGTGTTCACAGGTTTTGTTCTTGATACTGGCACTTTTTTTTGCCTCTCTGTCTAACCGTGTCTGTCACATTACCGGCATTCTGTTTTCTAGTATGCTGATCCCGTCTCGGATCTGCTGGACAAGTGGGGAGCTTTCCGAAGCCGTCTTTTCCGGGAATCTTGTGTGTTCCACCGTGGAAATTATGTCAAGGACCTAAGCCGTCTAGGCAGGGATCTTAACAAAGTCATCATTGTGGACAACTCGCCAGCCTCCTACATCTTCCACCCAGACAATGCTGTACGTTACTGCCTTTCTTTGTTCTTTTGCACATATAACTGCTTTGGGTCTCATGATATATTATGCACAGTGCTTAGCCTGCTAAACCTTGTGTGAGTTTATTTGTCAGTTGCTTGTCGCTTTGTCCGAGTATTCATATTAGTTTTAACAGACACTCTTCTCTGTTATGTTTAGGTACCTGTTGCCTCCTGGTTTGATGACATGTCTGACACAGAGCTGCTGGATCTCATCCCTTTCTTTGAGAGACTGAGTAAAGTGGATAATGTCTACACTGTGCTGAAGCAGCAGAGGACTACTAGCTAGCACAACACTAAGGGCAGCTGTCACTATGGGGCCAGGGAGGCCGCTGGGCTTGGAGCACCACACTGCTTCCCCCTAACAGGACCAGCCACTAGCTCAGTCCTCATCACCTACCCAGAATTCCATTCATATGATGTTTGATAGAGAAAAAGAAGTTGAATGACAGAACTGTGAAGGACAGCTTTAGCTATTACATGCATTCAATAAGAAGCTGATTGTTTTAACACTCAGTTGCGTGAATCTCAGGAAAGCAGGCAAGACCATATTTCACCCTGAAGTCAAATAATAGAAATGATTTTTTGCTTAAAGAAAATGAAAGAGATGCTTTTTTGCCTTTGTGACATTATTTTGACAATTAAGCACATTCCCTCCAATTTTTCTCATAATGCAAAAATTCAAACTTATATTTACTGTAATGTGTAAAAAAAAAAATTATTTAAATTGTATTTATATATTATGGTTGTATTTGTTGTACTGCCTTTAATTTATGCTTGTTTATAAGAAACGTACTGTATTACAGTAATCTAATTGTGAATAATAATGGAAATTGAAAAAAATAAAGCTAAAGCAAAATGTCCAGATGTATTATGGTATTAATGAGGGACAAATTGTTTAATTGTCATAAAATTAATTTCACAATGCAAAAAAATAAATAAATGCTTTGTTTTCTATATGCAAATATCATTTTATATTTATTTTTCTTTTGATTTTAGGGGGTAATGTGGCCTGGGCATGTTTTCGTGTGATTCACCCAAAAACGTGTTATTCCTTCTTTGCAACTCTTTCATTTTCATGGTTGAGGGAAGCCCTGTTAAAATGAAACAAGTTGATTGTCCTCTTTAGTTGGTGATTTGAGAAGATCAGTTTTTTAAGAAAACGACTTCCTCTTCTTGTACGTTTATATCTTGAGTTAAACTTCCCTCATTCCCTGTTTATCGAGTTTACTTCAAGATCTTACTTCAAGTGAGGACAAAACCATGAATGGCAATCACATGGAATAATATGCTGTCTTTTTTATCTAGCCAACTTTATTGGACTCTAAAACAAGCTTTCATCATCCCTTTATTTTTCAAAAATCATGTTTTTTTTCTTCTCCTCCAATTTCTAAATCAGATATGAAAAAGACTCATGATGCAATCAGCCCACACTTGAAATTCAAGTTTCACAAAGCAACAGTTGTAAGAAAGGGAAATTGGCCCAGCACTTCGTGTCACACGGCCCGTTTTCACTCAGAAGGTTAAGCTAATGCACCTTTTGAATCATATACAGTATGCTTTATTTTGTCTAATGCGAGGTCATTCACCTTGGCCTTAAAATTACTGTAGCAAAAATTCATCAGACAATATCAAAGTGGTCTTATTTACAAAATCAGTTTGTCTGATACTGTATAGTTTTAGATTCATAACCGTATGCAATTTGTGTGTTTATATTAATCAAAACAAGTAAAGAATACTGGAATCAAACCTTGATTTGTCAGTGGAAGCAGATGTTCGAGTTGTAATGCCTTAACTCTCCATTAGATCACTAAGCTGTCAGATGGTTCATTGAGAAAGTGATTTGGGCATTGGCGTAAGCATGCCATACTGTGGACTGGAGAGCCCCTGTTAATGTGCAGTTGACGTGCCTTCTTGTTAGTTGCCATTTAATATGGATGGTTTTCCTTTTGGGGATTGTATACTTGCTCAGAACTATCCGAGTTGATTGTTTTGCAAGTGCCAATATCGATGTTTCGAGACATAATGGTGATGTTCATGTGCCCGGGAGAGAGTGGAAAGGTGATGTTATGGTTTTTAATACTGTTTTTTTTTTTGTCCATTTTTCAGTGTTTTGACTTTTTAAATAGATTTGGTGATGGCGAAACATTTGCCATCTCTCTATATTTGTGATATTAATGAAAATAGTGCTGTGCCATGGAGAATTTCTTTTTGTTATTCATAAAAGTTTAAAGAGCAGCTTGAGTGATATTTGATTCTTAAAAAGCACAATTGATTTTTCTCTTTTGTACTTGAATCTCAAACCCTGTATTATATTCTGGTATTATTTCCAATAGTATTGGATGTGCAGTTACATGGTTTGTATATACGTTATTTGTGTATACATTTCAAAATAATCAAAAAATAATCAGTCAGTCATTCAAAATGTTACTTAAAATCCACTGTTTCTAATGTCGTGACGAAAGAAATTATGAAACTTCAGTGAACTTCAGCCTAAATTTAATAGGTACGTGAGCACATAAGAGTCTTTCAACGTTTGAAACTGATGTTGCGGTAGAGAACATGTTATTGAATTGCATGTCTGACTTGGTACATTCTCCGAGGTCTGATTGATCATCAATCTCAGTAGGACTTCTCACACTAGTCTGCTTATGCAACAGGACCAAACCAGGCCCATGTTTTTCTGAGGTTATGTAATAGTCTTGGTAGTGCTTGTATGCCGCCTTTTCAATATTCTCACAGAGGCCACGAATGCACTTCTCTTAATGTGTAATTGTTGAATCAGAAACGTGTAATGTTTCTTTGATCTCCTGAACAAAAATGTGATAGTGGTACGGCTTCAGAGCTTGTAGTTTTGTAAATTGTTTCTCTTGTATTAACTGCCATAAGTAAGTAATCAGTTTTCTCATAGCCTATTTTAATATGCTCTACAGCAAGTCTTTTTATAGGTACTCTAGGCATTATTAAGATAAATGAAGACTAGAATTAAGAACTGCCTGAAGAAAACTTTGGTTGGGCCATTCTTACATTTATTTGAACGTTAATGGCTCCCTCTAGAGTTACATATAGAAATCTTTTTTACAACAATAAAAAGATGAAATGTGCTATACAAATAATCTTTAACCAAATGTTATTACATTTAAACAGACAATCAAATATTTAATTTCAAGTCAGTGTGAAAATATCACTTAAAATAATTAAGAGCCATCAAAACTAAGTTACTATTTTTGGATACAGTGATTCACTATTTTGTACCTTAAAGGTACATATTAGTACTTTAAACGTACATATTAAAGGGGTCATATGATGCGATTTAAATTTTTCCTTTCTCGTCGTTGTCTTTAGGTCACGTCCCAAAACCATTCAAGCTGGCGGTTATTAAGCCTCTTATTAAGAAACCACAACTAGATCCTAGTGAACTGGCAAATTACAGACCCATCTCAAATCTTCCTTTTATGTCTAAAATTTTAGAAAAAGTTGTGTCTGC